ACAGACCGGTCTGATTGAGTACACCTTGACATTTTTAACTGCTATACTGCAGTTTTACTTTTTACAATACCTTTTGCCTTGCAGCCCCCTGCAGGTGTACTCAATCAGACCGGTCTGTTTGAAAAACTTCCTGTATATACTCCCTTGACTCTGCTGGCAAAGAGGGGAGGAGAGCCTGTGGCTTGGTGGTTAAATCACTGCCTAGTATGTAAACTGCCCAGGTTCAAATCCCATAAAGGGTAGGGCTAACTGATGAAAGCAGAACGAGCTAGAAATGACCATCTTAGTCTCCCAATTTAATTCTTTAACTCTTTGTCAGAAAAAGAAATTTGGATTTAAAATGTTTCGCAGTTGCGACTTGAGCCTGTTTAACGCCCCTAGTTGGGGGGTTGCAAGGCAAAAGGTATTGTAAAAAGTAAAACTGTAGTATAGCAGTTAAGATAGCTCTAGTTTGAGCTGATACAGGCAGAATTAAATTTCTTTTGACATATACATAGCTACAAGCAAAGGAAAGCATTATATTTTATGTATACACTGATACATGAAACCAAAACTCCCTGAAAAAAAATAATTTATAGATAGTAAGTAACCAAGTAACTGGGAATCTCTTTATTTTGCATCAACCCTAACCCTAAAGAAATCATATCCTTTTACTAAACTCAATCAACCACTTTCAAAAGAATGTCTATTAATCTTTCTCTGCCAAGGTTTTTATACTTTCTCTGGCAAGGTTTTTATACTTTCAAAATGTTTCAAATGTATTTTCTATTGCTTATTAGTGAATATCCATGGATATTAAATCAACAAAATTATTACTTTTCAAAGAACGATTTTGCTTCATTTTCATGTCCATTGTAGACTAGTTCCAAGTACATGTGTACAAACAGAGGATAAAAAAGTTGTGATAATTCAGCTCGATGACAATCCAGAGCACGTTCAATGAAGTGTTTCAATCCACTGTAGTATTCTTCATAAAGTGCTGGGTCTCCCTGTTGATTATAAGCAGATAGCACCGCACTCACATCTGGCTGATCTTCTACAAGAACTCCGGCTACAAAATTAATATAGGAAAATTAATGTCTGCATTCTTTTGCAATTGGTTATTTCAATCCTAAACCCTCTGAATTCCTTGAAGCAAATTCTTCCATTTTACTCCAAATCCAGTACATATCGACTATGAAATATGTTAAGTAGCTACATTCAACTGATGGCTAGCAAGAATGTTTTGACCCAAATTTATCAACTAAATGTTTTAATTAAGAACAGCTGCATTAGCAATTTCCCTATAAATATAGATTTGGTTTCCAAATGCATATTTTCTCTTTAAATTCCACCCTTTCAAAGTTATGAATTGTTTACAAATTGTTTAAAAATCCCCCCCCAAAAAATTACAAATTAAGTACAATAAAATCAAATATATAGAATGAAGGGAAACTCTGAGGACAGACTAAGAACTATTTGTAGCATGAGATGATCAAAGAAAGAAAATACTAGTGCAATGCTGTTAAACTTTCATTTCAACAAGAGCTTTCTCCTTCTTTCCAATCCAACAGAATGTTTCCAAAATATGTAAAAGGTATCAGGTTTTGGCCTCTCTATAGAATAATTTTTTGGAAACTTAATTTTCCCTAACACATTCTGTATGGGAGAGGCAATTTGGCAGCATCGTAGAATGTAGCTAACTCTCCCATTCTCCCTCCAAGACCCCTCCCACTTTTTAAAATTCACATTAAGATATTTTCACACAACAAAAGATAAATCAAAAGAAAAAAAGGAAAAGAAAAATTTAAAAATACAAAAAAGGAAAATGAAAAAAAGTTAAGAAAGTTAAGAAATTTTGGATACAAATTCATAAGATTTTAAAGATTAATATGAAGAAACCAGAACTCAGTTTATCTGAGATTTATGGACAATGAATTAGAAAAGACTTATGATAGACTGATTTTTATATATCGCAACTGCAGCAAAATTACTGTATGTACAACAATGGAAGAATAATGAAATTCTCATGTGGAGAAATACATTGTAAAAATGACAGAATTTGCAGAAATGGTAAAATTGACCTCTCTGGTTGGGGAAAAAACTTTTTTTCTGAAAAATTAGAAACCTTATATGGACTTTTTGCTGAAAAAGAAATGAACTGATGATTCATGAATTTGAAGACTAAGAAAGATAGGAATTAAATGAGGGGCTGAAGGAACTTGTATAACATTTAAGAGAGTGGAGGGACAATAAAATTGTAATTACCTGTTGAAAAGAAGGTTGGAAGTCATTTCTAAGACCACTCCCTTTATACTTCATGTGATTTTGATTCTATGTTTATACAGCCAAGAATTGTATTAACTTTTTTTGGCTGCTGCTGCACACTATTGGCTCATATTTAAGTGATCGTCCACTAGGACTCCAAGGTCCCTCTCACAGTTACTGTTTTTGAGCCTAATCTATACTTGTACCTTTGGTTTTTCCTGCCTAAGTGTAAAACCTCATTTTCCTCCACATTAAATTTCATGTTGTTGGATAGGGCTCTTTGTTCAAGTCTGTCAAGATCTTTTTGGATCCGGAGCTTGTCTTCTGGGGTTTGGGCTATTCCTGCCAACACACTAAATTTACTGTGGTTATATTGCTATACAACCCCAATAAATTTAGAAGGATAGTGCTGAACTGATGTTCTCCGAAATGAACTACTATAGATTTTATATCAATTTGTCACGAGTGCAGGGCAAAAGTAATTAATGCTGGCTGAATGAACACTTACTATTAACGTTTTATATCTCACCTTTGGCAGGAGGACCCAAGGGCGCTGCAGGAGGTGTCGTGAGAGCGGCTGGAGAGATCGTAGCTCCAGTCTGGCCAAATGTGATAGAATTGATTAGCACGTCCCCAGCTCCAGGAGCCACGATCCCGACACTGAGATCCTGTCCTTCCCCTCCATGAGCTCCGGGGACCCCGGGCGCTGAGGAATTCGGGTCGCTCAAGAGGTCGTCGATAAGGCCACGGGCTTCCCTTCGGAGGATCTCCTCCGATTCGCGCAGATTGCTGCGCCGCAAGAACTGCAGCACCGCCTGCAGAGTCTGCCGGTCGGCGGGTAGTTGAGAGGCTGCCGGCGTAGGGCTGGAAGTCACCGAGCTCTTCGAGTCAACTCCTCCCGCAAGCGGCTCCCCATCCGCGAGAAGGGTGGCAGCGACCGAGGAGGCAGGCGGAGGAGGGGCAGTTGTTGCAACTGCTGCTGCCGTCGAGATCGGGGACTGGGAGAGAGGAGCGGGCGGAGCGGGCGGCGCTCCTGCATCAGGATCTGGCTTTACCGGTACTGCCTCCGTCGGCTCCTCCGGCAAAGCAGCCATGTTAGCGCGCCCAACGGCTTCACCTCCCCTTTTGCTTTCCCGCGTTTTTGCGACAGTCCGGGCATACTCGCCCAGCGAGAACTTGAAAGGCTCTAAGGAAGAGGCTTCCCATTGCTTTACGACAGTTCCGCTTTATGGAAATCAAAGGAAAAGAGCTATTTCACTATTCAAGAGCTTGGATAAAATCGCCCGCAGAAGCTTGTGCGTGTTTGGTTAGTCAGTGTTTCTCAACCTTGACTATTTTAAGGCATGTGGACTTCAACTCCCAGAATTCCACAGCCAGCAATGCTGGCTGTGGAATTCTGGGAGTTGAAGTCCACATGCCTTAAAATTGTCAAGGTTGAGAGACACTGGGTTAGATAATCGCATTTTCTGAAATGCGCATTTTCCCTTTTAAAGCTTTTTTGAAATGAAAAATTGCTTACAGCTTACGTACAAGCAACCCCCATTAATTATCATTGCATCTTTACACACTAGAAATGTTGTTTAGTATATCAAATCTTCGGAGAGTTCATTTCTCCATAATAGTTAAATAGTAATATTTTAATACCACTGCTAAGAAGAAAAAAAGTTAAACCTATATTACGTTGCATAAAATATAATAGTTACTTGAATTCTGAAATGACTTATTCCCTTCTCCATTCATTGAGCACATAGCTTTTATTGTTAACACCTAACAGTAATGGTAAAAACAATGTTTTACCTTTCAGGATTAGATATAAACCTATAATGCATGTAAGTTTGAATACAGCAGATAAGCAGCAATCCCTGATATCCTTAAATATGGGTTCAAAAGACCCTCAAAAGCTCTCACCAACTTATTTGTTTAAACCTATTAAACTTACTTTTAAAAGGAAAATCCATTAAATGAGGAAAAAAACTATTAAATATGTTACTTTTATTTTACTTTTAAAGTAAATTTTACTTTTTGTTTAAATTTATATTTAAACAAAGTAAGATTTACTTTAAAAGTAAATTAACATATTTAATTACATATACATTATATGTAGGGCACAGTAGGGTGGAGCAGGGCTCAGCTTCCCCCCATTATACTACAAAGATCCCTGACCTTCAGTAACCTCTACAACTAAATCCCACCTATATATTTGGATGCCCCAGATGTAACTTGGGACTTGGAGAACATTTATTGCAATGGCAAATAATTATTGTGCATGGAAGTCAAGCTCGATTGAAACTATAGTCTAAAGACAGATCAACAGAAGCAGCAAAAATCAGCGTTATTTTAAGAATTGCTATTTAATTAGCATTCCAATACAACAGAATAGCACAGGTATGGATGTAAATGATCAGATATTTTATTTCATTCATTTTTGTCCCTGCCTCGCTCACATTTTTACACAACTTCGTGTGTGTATATTTTTTACATTTTAATCCAATTTTAATTTTGAAAGTTAAAATTAGTTCCGGTCTTTAAGTACCGTCGTACCTAAAGATAAAACCGCTCGCTTTCTCCTCTGCAAAAGAGGAACAAAATTTAACTCAATTTCCCAGAACACAGCGCGAATATGTAAATTATGCAGGTGTTCTGGAGATGTGCGCGCCAAATTAGCCGTGCGCACGCGCTAAAATTGGTGAACCTTTTTTATTCTGCTTGCAGGGACGGAGCAGACCCCTCGCGCAAATTAGCCGGGGGAGGAGAGGAGGAGGCGACCACAACAATACTCCGCGATTGTTGGAAAATTGTATTTCCTTGTGGGCGGAGGCCGAGCAGCTGCTTGTTTTTTGGTCGGAGATATGGCGTTGACTCTGCAAAGCGAGGGGTCCGTGTCTGAGGAGGCTGGTGGACTGTCCGAGGAAGTGGAGGGGAAAGTAGCGGCAGCAGCCACGCTGGAAAAGCCTGGTTGCTCCGGGGCGGGTGCTCTTTACGAACAGGGAAGCCGCTCTGAATCCAGCTGTGAAGGTAACGAAGAGATGGAGGATGAGGAAGAGATGATGGAGGAAGGGACTGCAGGAAGTGGAGCCGCAGCCCTCTTCGGAGGATTTGGGACGGAGGAGGGCGAAATGGATTGCGACGATGAGGACGAGGTAACACGGGTCGCTCTTTCCTGGGCAGCGGGGTTAAGGGGACGAGAGGGTAGCTCGGTAAAGCACAATTGTCGAGATCCAAATTATCCTCCGTCAACTTTTCTGATAAGATTATTGTGAGCCATTTTGATTTCCTTGGGAACATTGCTTTTGGTGCAAATGCATTCCTTTTTTGTGTGTGTAATTTTGTCACAATGTGACATTTCTTATGTACCCCAGTTCTGTCAGTCTTGCTAGTTTATTTTATATGCTCTTGCAGACAAATGATCCCAGCAAATCCAAAACTGATATAAAACATTGTCAGAGTTTGTAAAACTTGCCATACTTCAGAAAGAGAAAAAAGCAACTTGCAAGACAAACTTTTTAAAGTTCTGTTCTGTAGTTTCCTGTATTTATCCTGTTGTGGGTAAGTACAGGATAGATTACGGTATATGTCTTGTGCAAAAGTACTGCTGCTTTTCTCATCAGCGACAGTATCTCCCATCACATTCTGGGAACAAGAGATGGGCTTGGAACATGTTGCTTATACTACATGTAGTCTTGCACTGCTCAGTTCCTGAGGCAGTTAAAGAGGTCAACATCAAACATTATGTGAGAAGATACATGTTTGTTTCCCAGGAGTTGTCTTTTTAATGTGGCCTTCCAGATTTGCTTTGGAGACACATAACTCTCTATAGCAGGAGTGTCAAACTGCTGGCCCATGGGCCGGATCCATCATAGCAAAACCGCGCCCACCCCATTGCCGGCAATGGCAAAAAAGTATCAGCAAACTTAAACAATACTCTTAACATACTTTTGTGAAATTTCAGCGCATGATTAATCTTTCTGAACTGGTACCATATATCATGTGTTCCATCTGCAAGGGATATTTCATAGATGCCACAACCATCACAGAATGTCTTCACACATGTAAGTATTGGAATTATTATTAAATTTGTTTGCTGGCCATCATAACTCTGGGCAGCTTACAACATTAAAAGCTATAAAACTAAAATATTTCTGAAAACAAATTTACATAGGTTGAAAAAAGTTATGCACACCTTAATAATATGACAGTTACAATAAAACATTAGGACTGAAACTCTGGACTTGAAGTTCAGAGGGTGCTTCAGAACATGAGTTTGAACTTGATACCTTTTTGTAAATTCTTAAAGCAGCTTCATGTTTTCTGGAATTATGCTGTGCATCTATCTGCCTTATATCATAGCCTTATAATATGCAGTACACCAACTGAAGTGGAAGTCTTTAGGAAAAATCCTAGAAAATTTTAACAATCCATGTGTTATGAAAATTGTTCCTAAATTGTTCTTTTTCCCTTTGATCCTGACTTTCCCCTGAATCTATTTTAAAAAATCTTTCAGAGCCTAGTCTGACATTCAGTCTTCTATGGGGAGATCTGTTATTCTGAATAAATATGCAAAGATCATTTTCTTAACTCATTTATCATGGCCAAACTGAGTCTATAATGGCCTTACGGAAATCCAAATCTGGAGACAATTTTCTGGTACCTTTGATACTAGAGCCTGAAGCACTGTAGATAAAAAGTATTGCTTTGTTTACCAGGCAGAAGAAGAAACTGCTTCAGCTCCGAGCTTTTCTACTGCAAATTAGAAACATACATTATTTTGTGATAGCCTGCTGTCTGAACCTTTTAAAAAACTGAAATAGTGTGAACTGAACTGTGGTATCCTGAATTACAGGTATAAATTCAATATTAATCATTCAGTAGTTCACCCCATTGTAAATCTACTTTATCTGGTTTCTTCTTTAATCAGTAAAGTCCTGTATGCTCACAAAAAAAGAGCTAGGTGGGAGGACACAGGCATGAAGTCAGTCCATTTGGGTTAATAAGACTGGATTAAAGACAATATATAAAAACTGGATGTACAAATCTAAGTAGAATTGTTAGTTTTCTGTTTTTGTTTTGCTGTTACTTTACATCCTAGCCAGGACTTATGACCACAATGGAGCCCAGAATTTTGGTCATAAATTGTTGTATTCAGTTTTATGACTGTTTTATGATGCTCATAAAGCTGGTTACTGCAGTCATTAAGGTAATTATGTCATTAAGTGAACAATGTGGTCGTTAAGCAAACTCCTGGATATCCAGTGAGTATTTTTGCTTGACCTGCTGGAAAAGAGCAAAAGTTGCAAATTGTGGTCATGTGAGCACAGAACACTGCAACTGATTGCAAATGTGAGCTGGTTGCCAAGCATCGAAAATGCAATGCATGACTGTAGGGGGGAGGCAGTCATAACCTTGAGGATGGGTCGTAAATAGCTTTTTTTGAAGTCCATCATAACTTTGAATACTCTTGTATCTCTGCAGATTCTGGACATTACTGCTTTCAGTAATAATGGATCGTTTTGTTGCAGTCATGTAATTAATTTTTTTTTTTACAGTTTGTAAAAGCTGCATAGTAAGACATTTTTACTATAGTAACAGATGTCCAAAATGCAACATTGTAGTACATCAGACACAGCCGCTTTATAATATCAGGTAATTTACCTGTTATTGTGCACTCTATATTTTGTGTAGAAATGAACAGTTTTAGCTAATGTTCTTATGTTAGTTTTAGTCTTGATATTAACTATTGGAACTAAGAATTATTTCAAATAGCCTGATATGGGAGAATATGTTTAAATCTTCTGAAACTCTAGCAACATGTTCAAAACCATTAACTTTATTATTAAAACAATGAGACTAATCCACAGACCACACTTCACTGTCTTGTACTTGATATTTTCTTCGTCCGTTTCTGGGACTTATTATTATGTTGGAATACTAATAAAGTTTCTTTTGTAATTTTGACATGGAAATTTTGCAATTTTGATAGCTATTTCTCAGCCAATCTTGTTTTATAATTGTTATAGTTTAATAATTTTGTGTCAGTGCCTATCTTTCAATATGTCGCTGTAATAAAAAATAGTTACATTTAAAAATTACTCTTTATTTTTTTTTATAGGCTGGATCGACAATTGCAAGACATAGTATATAAATTAGTTGTCAACTTGGAAGAAAGTAAGTCTTTACCTCTGAATTGGCTGCTCTTGGTAAAACTGAAAGATACATTTAACTGAATGTAACTGACATTGTTAGCATACATCTTATGTTGCCATAAAATAGTTGATAGTTCGCTAAAGAACCACATGCTCCTTGATATAATTTGGAATATTTCAGCTGGAGATAGATTATCAGCTTGTAAGGTTTATGAACAAAAGTGTGAAATCTTGGAAAAATCACGGATTCATTTTCTTTAGAATGTTCATCTTCCCTGCCCTTTCCACACCTGTTCATCTATTTCTTAAAAGAAATACATAGTCTTCGTTTAGTGACTACCTTGTTTAGCAATTATTCATAGGTACAATAGAGATGGAAAAAGTAACTTTGTGACCAGTTCTCATATTTATGATCTTTGCAAGTGTATAAAGTAAAGTAAGACTGTTTTGCTTAGCAACCAAGTTGTTGGTCTCAATACCTGGATAGGCATATTAATAGAATTATTGATGAACTCTTTTTTTAGTATGGGATATTCACAAATTCATTTTAAGATTGACTATCAAGAGTTCAGTGCTTTATATTATTTTGCTACTATAATCTTATTTAAATAATAAAATGTTCTATTTCTGTCAGTTAAATGTGTAAAAGCTATAAAATTAATGGAATAAAAGATTGACAGATTGTCTTCAGAATCTTAAACTCTAGGAGCAAGATCTGGGATTTCAAATTGAATATGAATCTCTTTGTAATATAGAATTATTATATTGTAGCAAATCATAAATAATTAACATCAAGATAACTCCTAGAAAAAACTATTGTACTGAAATAATTCTATTAATTGTAGGATTTCTAGATTGTATTGGTGAAATTTTAGCAGATTGATACATATCACCATCATTGATGACAGTGCCTGGTTAGATAATATTTTAATCAAGTATTTTTGAAGAAACAAAGAAAATACCTCACAGTCTCACAAGATATTCTATTAATTTATTGACCATATTTTCTAATGAATATAAGTTATTGCAACATAAAAATAATGCAGTTCCTTTTATTATCTCTCAGGTTTTTATTATAAAATATTGGAAAATTAAAATACTCTCACTGGATGAACCATGTGAGAAATTGTTTTGAAAAATTAAAAGTTAATTAAAAATTAAAAGACCTTTTTAAAAAAACCTATGAAAGACAAACTATTAAGATATGATAGCCATGTATTATCTATACCAGGAGGTTTCCTATTTTCATAATCTATTTTCCTTAGAAATTACTTTCACCTGCACATGTATTAATCTAGGAATAATATGTATTTAAAATACTTGTCCTTTTTTTAAAAAAAAATCACATATATGCATATGGCAATATGTTCCCAACTTTTTATTTTCTCATTTTCATTTTCTTAATCTTTTTGTTCCAGGTCTATTCAGCATTTTATCATTTGTTTTGTTTCTTTAATAAAATGGCAAAAAATGAAGAATTTAGATCATTTTCTTTATCTGTTTTGTCTTTTTTTGTCTACGTATTCCATATTAACTAGATCTATAGGTTGAGGATAACCAGCTCTTTTGTATTTATACATTTAGGAGAAAAAAAGAGAATGCACGATTTCTACAGGGAAAGAGGCTTAGAAATACCCAAACTTGGTAAGTTTTTTAACTGTGGGTATACTATTGCTTAAAATAAAGTGAATTTATTAAAATTTAAATTAAATACTTTTCATTATGCCTCATGCCAAGAGATGTAGCTATGTATTTAACCTTATTTTCTACAGACTAAGATCAATATTTATTTCTTCTCTGACATTATAGCTACTTTGGTTTTTAAAAAAAGTAACTAAAAAAACTATTTTTATACTAGTTAAGTTTTCAAATAAATTCATAGCTGAAAAATATAACATTCTAACATAAAAATATAGCTAACCTTAAACAACATGATTAATGTTTTCTTATTAAAGTACTACCAAAGTTAGGCTTATTTAATGAAAGTTGTGGTTTTGTCCCAAACATTTTAAAGATGATTTTAGTAAGTAGTTTTGTTCATGTGTCAAACTGCATTGAGATTGTTGATTATTGTCTTCAGTCAGTTCTTGCTGACCAACTTGTGATTGATGAGATCATTACATCAGATTTATAGAATTGTATTTTATTGCTTACCTGCCTGTGGCTCTCTCAGAAATTCAACACCATTCTTATACTTCCTAGAAACATAGCAACACTTACAAAAAGCTATCAAAAATAGCAATGGGAGAACAACTGTATATAAAAAGCCGCAAGTTTCAGCATGATATATTAGTAGCTTTCATTGTCTGTAATCATCTAAATGTATGCCAGAGATTTTGGAGAAGATGTATCTTTTGTTTTAATGAGATTTTATATAAGAGACACTCTGACTCCAAAACCTAGCCAAATTTGACAGTTTTCTAATTTGGAAGACAGTAGTTCTTGTGTTATATTGTTTTAAGATCTTTGATTACATTTGCCTCTAGGGCACAAATGAATAGTTTTGTAGAGACATATCTTTATCACTTTCTCTTCATTACTGCTCTTTTTGAATTCTCTTTTTCCCCCTACTCTTGGCCATCCTTCTTAACTTCTCTGGTCTGAGACCTAAGTAATTGTACAAACTGTTCTTTGTATGAAAGTCTTGTATATTGTTACTATGGAACCCATAAAGGGAAGAAAGAACACAAAACTATGGGATATAAAGGAAAGAAGAAAAAATAGTTACTCAGAAAGAGTAACTGATGACTGATAATACTTCCAAGAGAGAGAATACTGTATGGTATGAGAGAAATAAGAGGGAGTTGTGAAATCATAACAGTTGGAAGTGGCCATTTAGGCCATGAAGTCCAATCCCCTGTTCAGCATAAGAATCCAAATCAAAGCATTTCTGATTGATAGTTATCCAACTTCCACTTGAATACATCCAGAAAAGAAATGCACCGCTTCTCTCAGTAATTGTTTTCTGGGGTAGTGGTGCAAAGATTGTTAAATGATCACCAATGAGTCAGAGGCAATGGATTGCTCAGAGAAAGGACACTATGGATTGAAAAAAAAGAAAGGGTTAAAAGAAGAACAATCTGCAAGTATTACAGAGAAAGAAGTATGAATGCATTTATTTTATTCTCTATTCATTCATTCTTAGCCTGATTAATCTTTTATATTTTAGCTGCACCCCAACCAATGGCAGTGGGCAGGGGAAGACCCCGTAAGGTTGTAGGGTCTGTATTCCGTCTTCCTCCAGAACTTGACATGTCACTTCTTCTGGAATTTATTGGGTAAGTTAAAATTGAATTTCTGGGAATCAGTGTTTTATATATGAACATAGACAATAAATTATTGTCTATTAAATCATATTTAAGTCTCGGTACTGACAGAAATATGAATAAATATGGTAGGAGCATGCAGGTTAGGTGATGAAATATGCATTATGATGTGAACTCTGCCTCTTACAGTACATATTTAAGTATGATGTCTAAGTTCAAATGTAAAAGGATGGAGCTTGAATTATGAGATTATTGTGCATATTTTATCACTCTGACATTGTGATTAGGAATGATCACTTATATTGGCCTATTA